AACCCCTGAACTTTCTGCCTCTACCTCTCAATTGCTAATGGTGTATGCCATTAATTGATTTTCTTTTTTTTTCTACCTCAGGAAGATTTATTTTTGAGGCAGGGCCTTGCTATGTAACCTAGACTGGCCTCATTTATTTCCTCAGTTCTGGGATCATAGACATAAGCCACCATACCCAGCTAAAAAGTCTCTTTAGAGTAAAAAAGTGCTGGGTAGGAAGGCCTATGGCAAATCCTACTATGAAAGTAAGATTATGATAAGAGGTAAGTCAAGACACAAAAGCTCCTGGCAGGGAAAAGTGCTATCTACGTAAGATTAACATAGAGGTTCTTCTTTAAGACCACAGCGCCTCTAATCATTCCTCCAATGGTAGCTATCTGGCTTCAACTGGCTGCCAGGAGAATTAACCTGCAGAATGTGAAATCACACAGGGTTTATAGTGAGCCAAACACAGAAGAAAAGCTCAATGCTGCCATGTCTGGATGTCTCATTTCTAGGAAGATCTAATAAAGAAATATACTCAACACTGAAGAAAATATGTAATCTACGGATTAAAACTAGCCATGGCACCTGAAAAGCAATCAGCAGATGGAGGCCCAGCACAGAGAATATAAAATATACAGCCTAGTCCGGCTCCCAAGCTCTGCTAGCAGGCTGTGTCATCTTTAGCCTGCCAGTGATTCTTTGCTGTATCTTACCTTCTCCCTGTTGAGAAGACCTGATCCTGGGTGCTAAGCAGAGAACACGGAAGGCAGAACTCCTAACAGGGGAAGTTAGAAAAATCCCAGGAGAACTACAAGCTGGTAGTTAATGAAGGTTCAAGGAGGACAGAGGGGAGATAAGCATGACTGTAACTTAAGAACACAGAAACACATAGGACTTAATAATGGGCTAAATTTTACTAGAGAAGGGAAAAACCAGACAAGAATTTTGCAGCAGGGAAACTAAAAGAGTTAGGACAAAAGCAAGGAGGTGCACAGAAAAATGGGCTGAGTCGCAGAAAGAAAATTCTAGCTGTGATGACTGCAATACACCTACATGCAGAACTTAAGTAATCCAGTTAACTTTATTTCAGCATGCGTGTTTTTGTGTCATTGCAAAAGTAGTATTATTTTAAACTATACATGTATGAGAAAAGTATTACCATCTTTGAACAGGTTTGAGTATCCCTGAAGGTTCAAACCTACACTGCAAAGTCAATTACGGGCAGGTGCCTTTACCAAGTCCAAGATCCCAGGAAGAGAAGGAGCAGGCAGCCATGTGTGTGAGTAGGACGGCACTTCACAAGGAGCAGACATGGAGAACAATTTTGCCTCCACAGAAATAAGCCAGGTATTTCCACCTTGCATGAAGAGACGACACACTCTACAAGGAAGTGCCCTGGACAGTCATGGCTAGCCCTGAAGGCTGTGGAAGTTAAGGCTTGGTGGAACATACAGGCAGGCCTAGGGTTTTACACTTCACACATCATCCAACCTGGCAAACCGTAACTCCTGTAAGCTCATCTGCACCAGCAGCTCATTCAATCTTCTTCGCTCAGTTTTAGATTTTGTGTTAATTCTTCCTGGCTCCTAGTGATATAGGACTTTCCTACTATTCCCTTCCCCGCCAAACTTTACCATTTTGTCACCTATCTGAAACTTCCAACATCATTTATAGAAATCTTATTTCCCAAATCCTCTCTTTTTATTAAATTTAGTGAAACTCTGGGGGTGTATGAGAGAGAAGACCCCTAAGCCAATGCATCAGAGACAGATGTCTCCAAAGGTCTGCAGATTGGAGGATTTCACAGCAGATTCCTCAAAGATTTTAAACAGCCGATAGTTTTAAAGCTGTTCAAACTTCAGACCATAAAAATGGAACCAAGCAAAGTAATTTTATAAAGCAAAAAGAAAGAAAAACCTTTTTAAAAGCAAATGCAACATTCTTACTGGAGTGTCAGTCAATAATAAAATCTTTTAGTGCCACCAACAAACAAGAATGTCCTCAGAAGCACCTGAAGCACCCTTCAACTTCTGTCAACTTCTCAGAGTTCTGGAAGAAGTGCTCAGAAAGGTGGGAGACCGTGTCTGCTGGAGAAAGGGGAAATCTGAAGACATGGCAAAGGCTGACAAGGCTGTCATGAGAGAGAAATGAAAACCTACGTCCCCCACAAAGGGGAGACCAGAAAGAAGTCCAAGGACCCCAATGCACCCAAGAGGCCTCCTTCAGTGGTCTTCTTGTTCTGTTCTGAGTATTACCCAAAAATCAAAGGAGAACGCCCTGGCTTGTCCACTGGTGATGCTGCAGAGAAACTGGAGAGATGTGGGACAGCCCTGCCGCAGACCACAAGCTGTCCTACAGAAGGAAGGCTGCCACGTGGAAGGAGAAGCACGGAGAGGACACTGCTGCTTACAGAGCTAAAGGAAAACCCGATGCAGCGGAAACGGGGGTGGTCAAGGCAGAAAAGACCAAGGAAAAGAAGGAAGAGGAAGATGAGGAGGAGGAAGAAAAGGATGAAGATGAAGAAGATGATGAATAAGTTGGTTCTAGCACAGGTTTTTGTTGGTTTTTTTTTGTTTGTTTTATAAAGCATTTAGCCCCCCTGTAGACAACTCACTCCTTTTGAAGAAAAAAACTGGAATGTCAGGATGTGTAAGATTTGCTTTTAAACTGTACAGTGTCTTTTTTTGTACAGTTAACACACTACCGAATGTGTCTTTAGATACCCCGTCCTGGTGGTATTTTCGATAGCCACTAACCTTGCCTGGTACAGTCTGGGGTTGTAAATTGGCATGGAAGCTTAAAGCAGGATCTTGCTGGTAAACAGTACAAATTAGTTATATATGGGGATGGCAGGTTTTTTGTTTTTGTTTTTGTTTTTTTTTTGAGGGGGGTTCATCTTCAGTTGTCTCTGAGGCAACTCATATGAAGATAATTGTTCTGTTAACTGAATACCAATCTGTAATTGCAAAAAAAAATGCAGCTGTTTTGTTGACATTCTGAATGCTCCTAAGTAAATGTATTTCTTTTTATTAAAAAAAAGAAGAAGAAAAGCAAGTGCAGGCAATAACTCAACAGAAGGCTGTTTTCTGCTGAAACTGGTTACACTGCTCAGTTCTGGGAAGGAGCAGGGAAGCCCAGTCCTATAGACACTTTTCCTTGTAGATCTCTTTACACTGACTACCCGTAACTTTTTTCTCTACTCTTATTAATGTAATAAATCACACTGACTTCCTTCAGTGCTTAAAGCAATCTCACTGAGAGTTCTACCAGTCTTCCAATACATTACATATTAACCTGACATGCTCTTTGGAACGCTTTGTCTTACACGGGCGTGATTTGGCTGTAACTGTTCTTTCATACCCATGCAGGTGGTACCAAGACTGTGCTGGCCTTGAGAATAAATGCAAGTGTATCCCGTTTCCTCTGCTTTGACTTACTTTTCCTAGCACTTCACACGCAGGCCTTTCTTTTCTCTGAGCTTCTTGGTTCCTTTGCTCAGTAGATCCCTGCCTCACAGCTCCTCCTGTCATTCTCTTGTCTGAACAGCCCTGCTACCCCAGCCTCAGGATGCCCAGAAGCCAAGGGGGCTGGCTGCCTTGGGCAAGTGCCCCCCACACAGCTGCTGCTCCGGGTGGAGAGGGCAGACACAAAGGAAGTCCAAAGGTTTCGACACGGGCAAACTGGCACTTGCCCCCTTGCCTCTCTTACTACTTTTGCCATTTTCTCTTGACCTTGGTTTTCACAGTTACATTACGAATCACCTGAGCATGCTTTTGTTTCGATGTCACTCTGCTTTAGGCTTAAAGTACTTTCTGACCTGCATTTTAATGGGTGGCAGGTGGCTGTTCTATGACAAGTAGTTTTGAGTCATTTGTGACTGTAGGAAGAAGCGATCCTGCAAGGCAGCCCCAGTGTAACTCTTACTGGGTGTACAAGACTGAAAAGCACTAACTCTTTCAGACTGCAACCACCTTCGCATAAGCAGTGCCTGAGACATTTCAAAGTTTGGATTCATTCCTAACCTGACGAAGTGCCCTGGGGTTTCACTTAAACACAGCTGCATTACCAGCTGCTCCCTCACCCCTTGCTAGCCCGGCAGGCTGTAAAGACCCGTTTCTGCTTCTTTGACAGTAAGTGTCCAGTAGGAGCCCTGATCACCTTCTTATCCCCTTCTCAGAATCAGCACATGAGCCTCCAGGGAGAGGTGACTCACAATGCCAGGCTCACCTCTCCACCTCATGTATGATCTGAGTTATTCAGGATGTCTCTGATGTTCTGTCAAGTTTGCCTTCATTTTTCAGAGTGTTAATTTATGTTACCAAACATTTACCAAAAGCCGAACAAGTCCAAAACTAGATTTAACACATTCAGTGTTAAGAGCTGTATCGCTTGTTTTCTATTCCCCTTTCTCTCCATCATGATCTACACACACAATGTTTGTTTTTAAAATGTTATTCTATCAGTATTTTTAAATAAGACAAAAAGATGACACTTCATTCAACTTCTGAAATATTATCACAAAATGTTATTTGCATAAAATATGTTGATGTTGCCTCACAAAATATAGGAAACTAGTAACAAAGACACCTAAAACCTACGTAAGCTGGAAATGCGGCTCAGTTGGTGGAGTACTTGTTGGCATGCACGAGGCCTTAGGTCTGATCTCCAGCACCTCAAAGACCAGTAGCTCACATCTATAATCTAACACTTAAGAGGGAGGTAGAGACAGAAAGATCACAAGTTCAAGGCCAGTCTGGGCTACACAGTGAGTACGAGGCTAGCCTGGATTACATGAGACACTGATTCAAAACACAAAGTTCTAATCATTACCCTCATCTAATTATCTCTACTTGTCAACGTTATTTAAAAATACAGTATAATTTATGGACTTATGTTTTTAAAACCTCCGAATACAATATAGCATTTTCTTCTCCCCCTGTATTCTTTCTCCATGAGAAAATTAAATGCTATGCAGACCAAAATTTTAGTTTTGAGAACATGAGAGAAATACGTACAGTGAAAGACACGGAAGTCAATATATGGATGCGAACCTCTTCTTTCTGGTTCAAATCCTGCTCGGCTCCTTACGCGTACATCTCCTGGACAGAGTCAAGAACAAATGTAAGTTTAGAAAGCTGTTTCCCATGTGCAAACAGGTCCATGTGGGATCCGACTCCCTGGTATGGCCTCCCCTGTGGGGAAGGTGACCTACCGGTCAGTTCAGTAACATAAGTGAAAATGTTACAACAAAACCCACGACTGTATGCTAAAAACCAAACCAAGCAAAATAAACTGAACGAGTGATTAAGATCTGACTTATTTGGAGGAGGTAATACAATTTCGGTATTGGGTTGTAAGGCTGGGCTAGGAAACTTCTAAAAATGTCATTCCTTAATCATTATTTATTTTAAAGGTCACTTTATTACTCTGATGGGGTTGAACCAGTAACCATAAAAATCCAGTGGGAAACAAGATGTGTTTCACAGAAGAAAATCCTAGAACAAAAGAAGCAGGCATCCACCACGCCTGCTCTGCTTATCCCGGAACACTGGCTGACCACAGAGAGGATGGACACAGGAAAATGATTACTCTCACGAAGCCTGCAATTCCAGTGCGTGAGCTCCCCATTGGACTGTGTGCATTTAGAAATCTCTCTTCTCGCCCAAGGTTTTAGCAAGTTCTGAAACTTTTGTTTTTATCTGTTTGATGTTGTTCTTACATAAACACACATGATTTTCAGATAATTTAGCAACCAATTACCAGGTTCTCTTTATATCATAGGCATTGTTAAATTCTGCAATCGAACCTAAGTAAGAAGAACCTCAGTTCCCATTCTGTGAATGTGGAAATTGGGCTTTGGTGGATCAAATTGTATTTCCATGCCTCGAGTTGGTACAAATGACAAGCAATACTTAAACCCATGGTTCCAAAAGCAGCCCTTTCCTGTTAATGCTGTTGCAGCGACCAAATTCATAACAGAGGAGAGCCTTGAAAGAGTTCCAGCCCCCCGCTGTGCTCCTCAAACTCTGACTTCCTTAAAGGATCTCCCTTCATCAACGGTGACTCCATCTTTATCTGCCAAGGCCTCTTTTAGGCAGTGACTCCTTGGTATGACAAAGGTTTGCTGAGTACCTGTCAGACCCAGCACACACCAGGGCACAAAGTTTCCTTTCCAAGGGATGGTCAAACAGACAAATATACAACTCCTGTCTGTGGAGGAGGATAGAAGCTATAAATTAACGGGACGGAGGAATGGGATAGTGTCATACAGGGAGTCCTCACTGAAGAGGACTGAACAGGTCTAAACGGGGACCTGTGGCAAGTGAGCCAGGGAACCATAAGGCTATCAGAGGTTTCCAAGCACAAGGAAGAGCGAGCATGACCAGCCTGCACCACGAACACACGTGGCACGTGCACAGGCAAGTAAAAAGGCCAGCATGGCAGGGGTGCTGGGAAAGGGAAAGTGGGGTCAAAGAGGCATCAGGCTGGACCACACTGGACACTGGGACCTAGCATGCCAGCTCTGGCTGTTACTCTAAGGTTCAAAGTCTTCAGAGTACTCTGAACCCACAGTTAGATGACTTTATTCATGGATGAGAAAGGTTCACCTTGGCTGTGCAGACCGCAGTTCAGGAAGACCAAATGAGGAACAAGTACAGGAAACAAGGCGATAGCCATGGTTTAGATTGTGTGGTAACGCGCTCAGGATGCTGCGGTGCTAGCTTTTGTGAAGGTACCCACAAACAGGATTTGCAAATGAGCTAAACATAGAGTATGTAAGAAACAGGAGTCAAGATCAACTGCATTTCAGGAGAATGAGGTTATATCTATCTATTGAGACAGCAAGACTACAGATGTGGAGAACAAATCCAAATCTGCCCAGCCCTGTTAAAAGTTTGAGGTATCCATCATATACCCACCAGGCTACACAGACATAGAGTAAACACGTCTACAGCTTTGTTGTAAGTATAAAAGAACCACTAACAATTTTTTAAGAGACAGGGGAAGAGGAAATGAGGAGCAAAACGCCTGCTGTAGTAGAACAGAATGGAAGATGGTAAGGCACACATGACCCAAAGAAAAGCAAAGAGGAAAGAGGAAGAGTAACAACAGGATACATTTGGGCTTTTATAAAGAGTTAGTGGAGGGAGCAGAGGAGAGACCACAGGCAGATGAACTGCAGCCAAAGGAGGAAATCTAAACCCAGGGGAAAGCCGGGAGCAGCACTCACATACGAGCATGCTCTTCTTCAGTGAGCGGCTCTAGAAACCCATTTTCCACAAAGAATGCTCTAAAACAGTTAAAAGCGGTACACTAAAGGTAATGTCCTATTAGACCAGAAGTATAAATTGTCTTTTAACTGTAAAATGCCTTTTTCCTCATCACATTCAGTACTAGTTTTCAGATACTAAACTTCAATTTCTGCTACAAAAAGAGATGAATAGGCTACTTAATGAAAGATATCTCATCCCAAATAATAAGACTACAAAATTAACTGCTAGTGATATAAAATTGTGCTTACCTAGCATACGAATATATAACGCAGTCTGATCAGAACTGTCATAGGAAATAGCCCCACGTCTCTAAAAAAAAAAGCATACGTGTTAGCACATAATAATGAAATATGATCTAAATTTCATTCAGTAAGCATGCATTTATTATCTATCACATACTATTTACAAAGCATTGTGCAAAAAAGATTGAGTATACAAGATCTGTGCTGGAAATCTCTGGCGCGGGAGGGAGGACAGACAGAGTACAGCAGGCCTAAGAACCACTATAAGAAAGGGCGATAAGAGCAACTTGAGACCGACACACAGTTGATTTCTTTTGGGGATGTGGGATGCTAAGGATGGAGCCCAGAGACTTTGGCTAGGAAAGCAACTCTGCCACTGAGCTGTATCCACAGTTCTGTAGAAGTTGGTTTCTTAAAACAAAACAAAACAAACAAATCACGAGCTACCAAGGGAGAGAGAGGGGAAAGGGCAATCTGTGGCGTTCCAGGTGAATATCCAAGCCCCAGGTCTTCATTTATCAGGAGAGTGAATATTTCAGGACCCACTCACAAGTCCTCCAATGGCTCCCCACTGCCGTGGAAATGAGTTCCAAGCCCACGTTCTGGGTGCACGGCCTCCATGATCTGCTCTCCATGCTCTTGTCTCATCACAACCCTCCCCACTCTGACGCAGCCACGCTGTCCTTACTTTCCTCACCATCCCAGTGGCTGCCCTCACAGTTGTTTCCCCTGCTGGCCTGCAAGCTCTGCCATTCCTATGATTCTGATCTCTTAGGCCCGGTGAACATTCTTGGGCATACCCTGGCGACAAAAGCTGCAGCCATATGAGAACCGTGCTCTCCAGCAGTGCCCCCAGAGCACTGGCCTCACTGCCTTTAAAGCAACACATTTTATTGACCACTTAAAAAAATTAACACACAAGCAAAGCCAACAACACAACAGCTGGTCATGGTGGCACACACCATCAATCCCAGCACTCAGGAATCAGAGGAGCTCAACTTCCAAGCAGCATTTGGCTACTGCTTCCTATTTGCTATGTATTAAAATAGAAATTCCGCAGGAGCTGGAACCTTATCTGTATCATTCACCACAGCATCCTGTCCTCTAAAATAGACACTATTTTATCACTATCACTTAGCAAACAAACAATAATAAACACTTTATCAACAAATGCACTTGTTGCAAATAACACTTATGAACTGAGGAATAAAAGAACATCTACTGACAGAATTGATACAAATGAATACACTTCAAAATGTGAACATAAAACTGGCAAACCTCCGATGAGCAGTTAAGCTCTGTGGCAGCAAACACCTAAATCATTGCTGGTTGCCCAGATCCAGACCAAATCCAACATTCTGGCACACCAAAAACCGAGGAGCTGGTGAGATGGCTCAGCAGGTAAAGGTGCTTGCTGCCGGCCTGAGCTCAATCCCTAGACTCAAACCATGGGAAGAGAGCATGATTCCTGCAAGTTGTCCTCTGCCTCCTACAGGCATGCTGTGGCATGTGAGTGCATGCATGTGTGAGTGAGCACACACACGCACGCATGCACGCAAACCCCATAATATTTGGGGAGTGGTTTTTGCATACCAATTCTTTATAATCAATTAAAGTAAACCTTTTTATAATTATTTTTAACCTCCCGGAGATATATAGATACATACATGTTAAGTGCCTTTAAATCTCAGCCAGTTTGGTGAACTTTGATCACACGACTTCGCTGTACACTTCTTTGTGTGTGTCTGCGTGTCTATCCCACCCCTGGCTGTCTCCTCAGGTCTTTGTAGCATCATGTCTCTATACAGCACCCCATGACACTGGCTCCAATTACTACTGCCTTTAAAGGAACTAATGTTATTGACTGCTTTAAAAACACAGCCAGGCATGGTGGAATACACCTTTAATCCCAGCACTCAGGAGGTGGATCTCAGTGAGTTCAGGCTAGCTTGGTCTACAGAGCAAGTTCTGGGACAGCCAGCACTTCATAGTGAGACCCTGTCTCAACAGTTTTGTTTTTTTTTTAGTGTATTGTGATTGAGGGATTGGGGGATGGAGGGAGGGAAGAGGGGAGGGAGGAAGGGAGGGAGAGAGAGGGAGGGAAGGAGAGAGAGGGAGGGGGAGGGAGAAAGACGGAGACAGAGAGAGAGAGAGAGAGAGAGAGAGAGAGAGAGAGAGAGAGAGAGAGAGAGAGAGAGAGAGAGAGAGAGAGAGAGAGACTGTGTAGAGGGTGGAGGTCATCTCCAGTGCCTATACTTCAGGCACCCTCTACCTTGTTTTGTGGAATAGTCTCTCACTTGGCCTAGAACTCACCAAGTAGGCTAGACGGACTGGCCAGAGAACCCCTGGGATCTGTGTGTCTGACTCCTCGGGGCTGGAATTACAAGTGTGCACCAACAAGCCTGGAACTCATGCGGTTCTGAGTACTCCACAGGTAGGTCCTCAGGCTTGACCACAACCACTGTACCAGATGGGTTCTCAACTCTGCCCCAAGTTATATTCCTAATGCTTACTTATCATTTCAGGAAAAACGAAACCGGCTAAAACCTTGCATGACTTAAATCTTTTTTTTGAAAGTCCATGAACTGTAGAACAAACCTTTCAACCATAATTAAATTCTACCACTACTCACTGTCTCCAAGGATACTGAGGGACAGTGGTAGAATGAACTTTTTAATGCAGAACTTTGTGCCTTTTAAATTTTACAGCGTGTACAGTAATTACATTTCACAAAGTAAATAAAATGTGAAAATTATCTAAAATAACCTACAAAGAAAATATGATGGCAAATAGCAAGGAACTAATGCATACAGAATGCACCCCTGACCCCGCCGCAACAGTGTCGAAACAGCTGCTGCTCCACAGCAAGTCAGCCATTCTAGAGCAAAAAGCCACCGCTATCGCCTGATGCTAAGACACCACTCAGCTGGGATTACTGTCACCTCCACACACTCAGTTCACTAGGTTACTGGCCTACTGGCAGGCTAAGGGTAAGCCAAACACCCTGGAAAGAGTGTATGAGGCAATAGTATTTCTATTGGCTAAAACCTATTAATGAAACCACAGACATCAATATATAATAACTAGTCACAGTCATACCTATTAATCTGGTAGTGTCAATAACAACTTGGTGAGACAGTCAGTTGAAACGAAAATTGAAATGCTATTCTCTACAAGTTCTCTACTAGGAGTGTTAGACATTGTTATCATTTCTACTGTACGGTGCATATCTAGCAAACAGACACTTTTTTAAAAAATAAATTTTTATTTAAATTAAAAACAATATTATTTTATAAATATATACCAATCCCAGTGCCCTCTCCCTCCCATCCTCCCACACCCCCACCCACTCTCCTGGAAGGGTGAGGCCTCCCATGGGGTACCATCAAAGTCTGTGACATCTTTTGAGGCAGGACCTAGGTCTTCCCCTGTGTGTCTAGGTTGACAGAGTACCCCTCCATAGGGAATGGGCTACCAAAGTCCATTCATGCACTAGGGATAAATTCTGGTTCCACTGCCAGAGGCCCCATAGACTGCCCAGGCCTCCTAGCTGACACCCACGCTCAGGAGGCCTGGTTCAGTCCTATGCTGGTTCCCCAGTTGACAGACTGGGGTCCGTGAGCTTCCGCTTGCTCAGGTCAGCTGCCGAACAGCCACTTTTAAAGACAAAAGTCTCCCTGATTGCATTACATAAAGAGCAGCTGAAGACACATGTCAGCCCTGCAGGAAAACATGTTAATGCTATGTAACAAACACAATCTGGTGTGCCATTCACCCACGCACACTAACTGTACAGTAAGGTAAATATTTCAGACTCATGTATGGGGCACTAGACATTACTAAGTTGGGCAAAAAGGGCAACTTTTAATGTATCTCAATTAAATATACAATTTGTATTTAAGGTTCATCTATAAATACTTAGCCTAAGCACTATTCTGAATCCCAAGATACAGCACCTACTAAATAAATCCAAATAAAACTATTTTTAAATAAGTTTTACTTCATTTGCATTGGTATTTTGTCTGCATGTATATCTGTGTGAGGGTCAGATCTCGGGGTTACATACAAGTGTGAGCTGCCATAGGGGTGCTGGGAATTGAACCTGGGTCCTTTGGAAGAGTAGTCAGTGCTCTTAACCACTGAGCCATTTCTCCAGGCCTAAAGCAATGTTTTTTAAATGGGCTTTTAAAATAAGTATTTGAACCCACCAATGAATACAAATCACATAACAACTTCCTCAAAAATTACATTTAAAACGAATACCATCAAGTTCCTTCTGTAAGCAATCTAGGTAATCTAAAGTAACTCACTTTGGGGAATGAGTTACACTATATATACACTATGAATTAAAATAAAATTTTATTCCACTAAGAGTGTCACTTTCAAAAATGTGCATTAAACACTAAGACATTTACAAGTTTAATAAATGTTTCTTAAATAGATAATTAAGACTTAAAGCCACATACTGGTCAAACTGTAGTTTTAATAAAAATAGTAAAACAAGTTTCATCTAAATCCTGTGTCCATATCAGCCCTGAAGCCCTCTGGGCCACTGCCCACATTCCCATTGCACCTCTCCAGCAAATGGAAATAGCCAAGGCTCTGACTCGTGACTCTTCTAATTTAGCCATCCTGGGAACAGCTTGTAAAGCACACTAGTATAGGTCAAAACATGGGCGAGGCTGAGCTAATCAGCAACTGACAGCCGCAGCATAAACAAGTTAAACCATAGGCTGGGAACAACCATGACACTCTGAGAGCCTGGCTGAGAAGCCCGTGTGCCCTGGAACCCAGTGAATCATTCTTCCATAAAGACTTCATTGGAGGGAAACGATAAAAGGTGTAGAAGTTGTTCCCAATATTAGTTAATACATAACTTTTAAAGACAGACATGATAAAAGCAACAACAATGGTCTAGGTGTTTTCAGACAAAATCTCACTTAGCCCACACAAGAATTCTGTACGGTAGCCTTTATGCCCTCTTTGCAGTTTGGTAAGCAGAGTTAATGGATTTAAACACAACAGCTCTAAATAAAGTTTCCGGGAACAACACTGGAAAATTACAGC